CTAAGGGTAAACTTTGCCACAACACCAGTTGTACTTTATGGGCCCAAGAGAATAACAATCAGAAATTTGCTTAAGGTGCAGTTTCTTTTACATATTAGACAAGGTATACTGGATAAACCATCGGGTGATCACAGAAAAGGTTCAAGGACGTTACCCCAGCTAGTCTCTACAATGGTGTGAAGAAGTATGTGATAGCTGTGTTATCACGTTCACTGAGCTCTACTCAGTAAACACGGCGTCTAATGCTTTCCAGCTCATTTACTGTGTACCCGGAAGCCACACAAGCAGAGATTTTACGTGCTCTCGACAATAGATGTGATCGCTATTTATTATTGCTAATTTAACCGAGAGTTGTTACAAAATAAGAAGGAAGACGCTACTATTAATGCTCGTACTGGAAAGCTAATAATGCTACATCAAAGAGAAACATGGCATGTGGTTGTATGATGACTGTGAGTCCATGTAGCATTGTGGTCGATTGCGACAATAGCTGCGTGGAACCCTGAGCACGTGGATGGATGCGTGACCGTCCATCCGATCGTCCAATTGTGGTTGATGGGTCTTTAGGCAGCATACGTGTGTCCGCTTTTAAGTGGATGTAGTGTTTCTTAATCGCCCATGCCTGTCAAGTGATTTGCCGCACCGGCATGGTAATGGATTTGAGCGAAAATGCTGCGTTGATGTCTACAGGTGTATCACGTGTCAAAGATCATGTGGTGCGTAAGTAAGCTTTGCCACGCAGGCTAAATGAAAAGTACACTACAGCACTGAGAAAGTTGTAAACTTAACACTGAGAATCCCTGTAGCTCGGGATGTGGATGAGCGGATTGTTGTGGTCTCCGAGCTAGGCAATGTTGTTGCAGACGTTTCGTTCATCGAGGCCTGGCATTCGGGCCAGAACTCAATCAACAAACGTCTAGAACTCGAGGGCGTTTACGAGGCTCTGCAAGTGAGGTCAACAATAAGTACCAGATCGACGGGGCATAGACGTGGCCACTTGGCCGACTCATATAAGCCAATCGAATACACGTTCAAAGCAGGAGGCAATCAATAGTCACTTGGATCTGGCAGTGGCTTACGACTGTAAATCAGACCTCTATAGCCGCACTGAGGATGTTGCTTAGTTTGGCAACGAAAATGCTGCAACAAAAGTGCGTGGCTCGGAGAACACAAATATCTTCTCGACGTAACACTATTCAGCACCAAATCCAGACCTGTGTGCACAGTAGAAATTTGTTCAGATCCCTGGTCTATCATGGCTGCATCACCACCACGACTGACTAATGCGATCATGCCACACATTTTGACGTGATATTGACCAAAATTAGCTCGTAGCTCTATTGATTAGTCATTTCCATCCAGTGATTCATTATGTCTGGTTCTCATGTCTGCCTAAATCTCCTCCGTTGAGATTGCAGTAGGCTGATGATGAATCACTGAAAACGGGTATGTTTGCTAGCTCTGGCTTATGACGTGTTCCGTGAAAATTAATACCATCGAATTTAGTTAAAATTTCGTGATTTTCTTTAGTGCTCATTTGTTTCAAAACCGAAAAATCTATCATAGGGGAAAGAATCCAGTAACTGCGAAATCCTGTAGGAAGTATGGGCACAAATAGAAGCCGTGCGAAGAGCTTTAGACTATTTACAATTGAATCCCTTATTGAGTACATGAAGAACTGTCTACAAACTAATGCGCTTTCCTGGACTCATCGGAAAGTTCAACGTTCATGCCGACTGATTGATGTTGGCACTCATATAAAATAGCTATTGCGCGAACTGCAAACGTATTATCTCATAGTCTAGATGCTTTCGAATATTCGTAGTGTCTGCAAGAAGAACGAAAGTGGAAATTCTACCTCTGACGCCGTTAGAGAGGGACGAAATTGAGGAGACATCACAAGCGAATACACTGTGTCCAACGTTTGCCGAACGTGTCAGTTTGGCACTGGTTATTTTAGGAAGTGGTTGGCATTCTCCAGGAGCTGTGACATTACTCTATCATCACGTAAGTGCCAATACTAGTCATTATTGACTCACAGGAATTTTAGTCTATATCGACAAGGAAGATTGAACAATCTCTTTAAGTTCATTTTGGCCTCACTTTGTGAAAGTTCGAGTGCCACAATATCACAGCTCTCTAGGGCTGTTAAGGGTCAACGGCTTGTTTTGTAATGAGGTCTAATCCAGTCGTTGAGCAATGGGAAGAAAATGGAATGTCCTCCGTAATAAACTAGAATTTGGCCAGTGTTCTCGATACTTCTCGACCTGATGTAACTAATCATGAACATACCCTACAAGCACTCCTACGTCACATTTATTGCGGCAGTACTTCAAAACGTGACTCCTCGGTTCGTAGCTGTAACTGCATGGAGGGCGTTTGCACTTTGCCGTGTTGCGATGACTAGAGACATGAATTACCCCATCATAAGCCTTATCAAGGTCGTCCTGCATTGCGATTAGGCCCCTTTTGTCTTGGGAGCCCATCACGTAACGCGATTACTATACAGGAATTACGGAAATTTGAGCTTCATTTTGGGTGGACTCAGTCAGCACCATCATCATCAGCAGCAGCAGCAGCAGCAGCAGCACCATCCTCATCCTCATCGTCGTCATCATCATCCTGCTCCTCCTCCTCCTCCTCCTCCTCCTCATCATCATCATCATCATCATCATCCATCACCATCATCATCATCACCATCATCATCATCATTCTAATCGTCATCCTCATTAGCGTCGTCATCATAATCATCATCATCAACAGCAGCAACAGCATCATCATGATCATCAAAGTAATCAGCATCATCATTCTCGTCATCATCATCATCATCACATCATCATCAGCATCATCGTCATCGTCGTCACCATCATCATCAGCAGCAGCATCAGCACCATCATCATACTCAGCGTCAGCAGCATCATCATCGTCATCATCATCATCATCGTCGTCACCATCATCAGCAATATTATCAATACACCTTAGCTGAGGGGGAGAAACATCTCAATGTGTCGTGGATTCAGCTACGTGTCATGCATAGGTAACTCCATTTTGGATGAAATTCAGGAAAAAGGGTTTAGGAAGCCATTCTGTATGAGTGAAGTAAAATCCCATCACCTCCTTTTGAAGCCATTGAATTACTACCGAAAGATGCTGTAGTTGGCGATACGTGAGATAACTTCGGATGTTTTGGCTGTGTATCATGATTTAGTAGTTATGTGAGAGCAAGAATGTGGATTGCGACGAAGTTATGAGGAATGGAAAGTTTCGCAAGCCGGAAATGAATATTGAAAGCATAATCCTAGGAGATTTGTATTACTTGGTGCGGTAACGAAGCTGAAAGGATTTCTAAGCTATGTAACGTGGAGGTCATTGGTGGTTTTAATAGTTGCTTTCCTGGTCCCTCCTCATTCCTCAACAGTTTCGCTAGTCAGATAAAGCGTGTGGCTGTGCCCCGCGATTTGACTTCTCTGCTCCCGTAGATTCTACTGTTTAAGACATCTGTAGCTGTAAACTATGATCTTCTGATAAACTTACATATGTAACTTAGGTGACGCTACAATCCTTCGCAAATAGGGTGAAGCGTGAATGCAACCATATTGTAACCATCTTCCTCCAAACCGGGTGGATGGGAATAAAAATGAGTTCAGGCATCTCAGCAGTCAAATGAAACTCGTGCAACCCCCTAACATGATTAAAATTTCAGCGTTCACCACGGCGCTGACTGACACATTCGATGTAAACAATGAGTATCAAACCACTCATTCGGCGTAGATAGATGCAACAAAGGAAGTTTGTAGCATTTCGAAACTGTAATAGTTAACAAGCGTTTGGTCAAGGTCGGATATTGTTGCATTCATAAGTAATTGTTTTTGTTGCCTATTTTACACCATTGTGTAGCTTATGCTCCTTGCTTTGGTTATTTTTGCTTTGAGTTGTAAGGGGTTGTTTTCGTTACCCCATTTGTAATTTGTTGTTTGTTGTCCCAGCCAATCAGCTTATTTCTTAGATGTGACACCCTGCTTCCACCGCACCACATGGAAACAATCTCAGGAGGTCCACGTGACCCACACACTTATTGTCACCTGTTTCTCTTGTCGACAAAAGTGTGGGTGACATTTGCTATATCTCCTTATTATCAGTGCATTCATTTGGTTGCCCATTGTTACCACACCAGGTTTCGTTCTGTTGTGAACACACACCATCGTCAGTAAAGAAATTGCGATCCACATATCAAGAAACCCATTTTAAGCAAAAATTCCCGCTATTCACATGTGATGCCTTCCGCTGCATGACACGGCAAACGAGTGGTTATTGGAATCGACATCATTCCTGTGATTGATTAAGGTTTACATTGACAAACATCCGAAATTTCGCCGAAAACCTAGAGAGATTCATGCGTAACACACACACTCATATCTAGCAATCGTAAGTAGTAAAGCTTTCACATCACTGTGCGAAATTAGGTCTTTCAGGTGCAGCAACTAGGCCAAAATGCACTGTACTAGCTACCATCCAAACGTCTGCAGCTGAAGAAAAGTTTCATACTCTTTGTTTACTTGGCTTAGTGCGAACAGCAAACTGTTACAGGATAATGTCTGGCATTTTTTTCGGTATCTCAGATGAACCTGTTGGATGGAAGTTATATGGCCAAACAGTTGTATGAAAATACCTATATGAAAGCTCCATTCGCCAGTCTACAAAGACGAAAAATTAGGGAATAGATCTATAGTGGGACAATTAATGTCATTTTCAACAAATAGCAGAACCATTCACATTGCCTTTTCTGGCTAGCCATAGGTCTTGCAATCGCCGACAGTATAAACGGAACCATGTTTGTACGATTTGCGTCTGAACTCAGGTATACCTCCGACGCGAACTCAGAGAATTTGGATTACTGAAGTGAAATTGTAAACCGCCCCCAAATAAGGTATTGCATTATTTACGTTTGTGCTATACCTATATTTATAATATCTTATTTTACCGCTCCATCTCAACCACAGGAATTCGATACGGCCGAATATTTCTGCAGCAGTCACACACCCACCGGTGTCACACTCGTTACAGACATTCAAGAGCACCGAATCTTGGGGACACAAAAGCATCTGTCTGCAGGCTATAAAATCCTCGGTCAGAGCTCCATTTGGACAAAGCGATCGCAAACTATTGCTTTTGGTCAGTCAATGCACGTTCGATGTGTTGCTTGGACCACCGATCCAAGGAACAGAAAGCCAACGAAGCTGAGTTTGTTCCCCTTAGAAGGTAGAGTAAACAAAACGAGTATTACTCGAACCAAATACAAAGCTACCAATGTGGTTTTGCGATCAATCGATGCCATTTACCACGTCGAAAACGTGGGACCCCTGGATGCAACGTATTGTTACACAGACGATGGTGAACACAAGGAGCGAGTTATTATGGACTCCATGCATTCCACCTGTGTAGTGCCGGATATTGCTTGGTCGCCTGCACAAAAGTTGAGCTACACCAGAAAGGATGCCATCACATGTGAAGTCCGTGGGGGATGCGATGACGTTCGGCCGAGGTGGGATTGGGTTGCTGGGCCAATACCACAAATCACACTGGAAACAGTCGATTTGAGTGTAGTTGCGTCAAGCCCGAATGCAACGCTTCGATTGGTTTCATTGAGCAGAACTGGAACATATATCTTTCGATGTTCGGTGTCATGTATGTGCAACAACAGGCCGGTGGGAAGTTCAATACTTGCTACTCTGTATGTTGAGATGGAAGACAACCTGGATGGTTCAACAGAGTTAGAGGGACAGGCGAAGGATGCATGGGAGCATGAGCGTCCAATGGGGATTGCCGATGATGGCCATGGTAAGGACGCGGATGTCAGGTTCGGACAAATATCCCTGAAGTCACCAACCGTCGGAGAGGAAGTACATAAGGAGGCGATCCCTGATGATTTGTCAAGAGATGAGGGAACGCCAACTAAATTAGGTCAACTGGACACGTCTGGAAGTTTAGACCCATTAGATCAGTGGGATCCATTCTGGTTTGTGGAGGAAACGCAAGGCGAAATGGACGAACCACCACATCAAGGCAGCGGGATTGTATCTGATGGTTTGCGAAGATTAAAGTCGAAGGACGGAGAGCGAATATCCGTAGATCAGCTGGACACCATGCGTCGACGGGCATTACTTGAAGCACCACAATTGCCTCATATTTATCTGGAAGAATTCGGACAAACTGGATTACTACCAAAAGGGTCATTAGCTGGATTTCGGACTCACGGTACAGGGTCTGGTGGTCTCCGTGGAAGGACTGATTTGCGGACTCCACATATTCCGTCATCTGTCCCCGGGACACACTTAACAGGGGCTGGACTAAAAAGACGCTCAGAACTCCGAAAAATAAGCGAGCAAGAAGATGCCATCTCAGCCCTTTCTAGTCCAACAGATGTAATTATAAGAGATCGAGGACCCCTTGCGGATAGGGCATTAGATTATGCATATCGGTTGACTGCCATCGAAGACGCTGCGGCTACCCGCTCCCAGTTAGTAGACAAATCAACTGGCTCAATAACGCCAACCTCGTCCCAAGTAAGTAGGAAGGAAAGCATCCTGCGACACTGGATGAGAAGTGATCATCAAAGTCAAACAGACTCGCCGACTTCCTTATTTCAGACACTAGACAGCATCACCGCCGATTACCACTCATTGGGAGGTAAGATACATCAGGGAAAGGAACATTCACGCGACATCCCATTTGTCGATAGAGACCTGGAAGATGCTGTCCAAGGGCCCGAGACATTCACAGCGTTGGACATTTCAGCAGGCTATCGCGAAGCTGTCCCTTCGGAGTCAGATAAACAGCACAGAAACCGGGAGATACAGGTTTCTTTCTCTCCGCTGTACTCATCATTCCAAGATATTCGAAAAACTCGCCAAATAGCTCTCCGATATGTAGAAAGTCTTACGGATAGTGATCGAAGGATTCGTCCGCTATTATTACCCACAGAATATGAGAAAATGCTCCTCAAAACTCAGGATTCTAAACGGAGAGTACGGCTAGTTTCGCAACCGGTGATGCCTAACGCCTTGGGTGATAAACTGAGACGGCTCACAGATTATAGTCTTGGAAGTGCTGTGGTGTCACCAGGTCTGATCGCTAAACCATACGCTGAACAAATTGAAGTACAGTCGAACAAAGTGTACCGTCGTGATGATGCGACCAAGTTCCCCCATTTCAGGAAAATACCACAGACGGACAGGTACGGTGCAGAAGCTGCGTACCAAGTGCATAAACTGCGGGCTCAAGAGGCCGTCCAAGATGATGAATTAGTCGAATCCCCGTGGGCCCAGTCGAATTGGAAATTCGACGCCGTGGGTCATATGTACCGTTGGCGTGATACCACTGTGATAACACAGGCTGACCTAAGGTCACCCGACAGTGGCACAGTGCAGCTAGATTCACAAAGACGGGACTACGCCAAGAGGTCTGGGGGGAGGGTTTTGGGGCAACAAGGTGTGCTCCGGCAATGGTCGCAACCCTCACCAGACCAAGTACTGATCAGTATGGAGCATCATTTGTATAACACACAACTGTTAGCATCGGGCACCGGCAGTTCTGATGGTTGGGTGAAGCAGTATTCAGGATTGGAAGAGAACGTACGAAGAAGGTTGTTGGATACAGGGAAACGGATGGGAAAATCCCCCGCTGACCAGGTCATCTTAGAGCCATCTATTGTAATATCACCATCTAGTTTCACGGCACGCTGCCCTAACCTTAGATTCACGATGCGCTCGAACTACTATCCAACTGATATAATGTGGATCCGTCAACTTAGCATGACCAATACAAACCCAACCATGGATGAGCCTATCATACAATTTTCACTTACCAGGTGGAATCAACGAATACTCTCAACAAGAGAGCATGTGGCGGAGCGTTTATTTATCTATCCACCCCATAAATGGGCAGAGTCCCATACGCTGGACATGGTGGATGTTGTTCCTGAAGATTTTGGTTTTTACACCTGTATTACCACAATGGAGCTCGGATCGCTACAGGTGAATGTCACCAAGGCGTCTTTGCAACCATTGTGTATCATCCCTGGAAAAAATGATATCAACATCGCCGTTGAAAGATCACCACAAATGTCTGGAAATGAAAGTACTTCCTGCTACGAAGTCGGAGAGGAGGTTCTCGTTCATTGTCAAGCGGTGCAGTATCAGATATTTTGCGAACAAGCAGATAGTTTGGCTTACGGTCTCCGAAGCATAAATACCACTGTAGAAGCTTACGTATATCCGCGGGTGCAAGATGGTGTCTACAAAGCAACGCAACTGACTGAAAACATCCAAGCACCAGAAGCACCATTGTCTTTTTCCTTGAACAAATCGCGGGCATGGAGATTGCGCATCCAAATAGAGCATCATGATTCCTATATGCGTTGCGTAATGCGACCCAGCTTGACGCGATCAGGCTATACGAAGCCAGCCTACTGGGATTGGTTGGAAGCCGAATTCGTAGATCGGTACCAGAAACGTCTGGAAAGCTATTCGAAATGGCTACGCGTGTGTGTGAAACAACAGATGCCGTCGATCCAAATGCATCCACGTGGCACGGGGAAGCAACCCATTGCACTCCACCCTGGGCAACTTTTGACGTGCGATCTGAACGCGGTACCTAACCAACTACCATTCTTCGATGTATATCCTATTGACAGCAGAAAGCTTGAAGTGGCTTGGAAGTACGGTGTGTTGAACAGTAGCATCTGGATGGACGTTACTCGAAGCTCTGTTATATGGCGCAATCACTTTGGTCTGGGTCGTGTCCGTGTGGTTACACCAGCAGGAGCTGAAGGATTCTATCTAGCAGAATGCGGAGCTGCTGGTTCCAATTCGACAGAGGTGAGTCTTGTTCGATCAGCACATGTATGAATACATCTTCCCGCTGATTATAATCGGATTTTTGGCATCCGTAAAGTCTCTGCGACATCAACGTCTCCACTTCTTGGAGACAAAAGTATGTGTGTATACTCAAGCTAACTGGATCAAAGTTGTATCATTGAGGTGGTACGTTGGGTTATTGAAATATGTGACAACGTTACCGCTCTGATTAATTGAACTTGGGCTTTGGTGCCGCACCGAAGATCACTAAAGCTACCAGTATGGTTGTGTAGCTAATGGCTTCACTATGTCTTGCGTAACTAGCTACACGTCACACATGGCGTACTTTGGCGAGAGTGGTCGGCTCAAGCTGTGTCCATCTGGATGCCGGTGAGTATCGTACCGGTTAGTTTAGAAGAAAGCAAGGAAGTGACGGGACTAATGTTTATTGAATTGGTTAAATTAGCGATACCGTTACGACGCGTGCAAGCTAGGGAGGGATATCTGGGTACCGCGCAACGGAGCGGCGTGTTAAATCTAACCGTGGCTCCGTGTGGGCGTGCTCATGGGTTAGACATGAAAACTCAACATACGATTCATTCTAACTGTACAATGAGTTAATAATTATATTTAGTGATCTGCACAACATACTCAGACAAACCGGGTAATCTACGAACCGCTACACAAACTTCGTCCTACTGGTTCCTCACTGGTGCCCCGTAATTTGAAAGATCAGAATTTATATTAGGGATGCTTTAGTCTAGAGCAGATGCATGTGAAATCTTAATTAACAAAGTTTGGTAGTAAATAAATAAATAAAGGCATAAAAATTTGTACCTCGTTGGTGCGAAGCACAGTCCAATTGAGCAGCCTGATCAATCTGTACAACAAGATCGCAAAAATAGTTAATTGTGCATGTTTTTTGCAACGGATCCAAAATGAGTTTTGGCATTTTGAAGGTATCCCGGAGATTAAGAAACTGAGAACAATAACAGATGCGGATTTGGTCTCTAGTTCAAGAAAAGTGATACGGGCATACAAAAAACCGTCCCAAGGGGACCTGTTTCCATGCGGGTATTCCCACGAGAGGTTCCACCTGCACTTCCATTCTCCAACTTGCTGTGTGCCGGTGCGGCAAAATAGCATGCAAGCCATCATCCAGTTCCTAAATGTTTTTTACAAGAGCTGTTTTAAGCATGCATTATAGGCGATGAAGCCTGGGCTCGCGCCGACATGCGGATCATTCATATTTCCCAATCTGGAGCACCATCATTATTGCAGTCACACACAATGCGGAAGGGATCAGAAAGTAATGAATTTGTGAATGTGCTATATGTGGTACTTTCGCGCAGCACTTAGTAATATTCCGTTTTACATGAGTAAATGTACAAATGCGTGTGTTTCCGGACAGATGGGATACAGTGCCTTATATAGAATGACCATCTGTACCGGATGCGTCGTATGTTTTGCGTCTTAGAATTGGTCGGAATTCGTCATTGTTGTGTTTGTTTACTGGTTGCTCATTGTGTTCTCCGAATATGAGATTAAAGTTTTGTGAAGAGAGATTCAACAGCATTCCATTGGTGCGCTTCAGAGTAAACATGGATCAATAGCGTTTAAGTAATTTGGAAGATGTGGCCACGAACAGATTAAAAAGCTTGTTGTATCATATATTGTTCGGGGCGGACTCCATTAGTACACTCGTAGATTGCTACACACTGATCGCGTCTGATATGAAAAGCGAAGTACCTAGACACGTTTTAAAGGCAGCGAAAATCTGGCTTGCTCATGGTTACACCGGAATCAAACGGGTGAACCGAATTAAGAAATACAAGCTGAGTATATATATGGTTGGCGGCATCCGGTTTCGGATTTGCCTGTCACTGTGGCAAGCCACAGGACGCCTGCGCCTACAGAGGGACCATGGGTGGCTTGCGCTGTACCACCCACAGCTCCAACCACACACCCCATATCCAGTGCAAACCCGAAGGAATAAGACCGGGAGGCATGCGGCTGGGAACCACGTTTCATCAACGGAGCCGGCCCACACTCCTTCACAGGCAAACACAAGCACACTGTATTTGGGGAATCAAGCGCACACAAGGCGGTGGCTGGACTGTAGTCCGTTCCACACTGAGTGCATGGAACCACTCTTCGAGCCTAGCACGACCACAAGGACCGTGCACCCCGTCCCCTCCAGCAACGACCAACTGTCTCCTGGAGCCAGTATGGACGAGGTGGTGGGTAACGGGCGGGTAGGCACCATGTCAACATGCACATCAAGCGCAGACACACCGGGGATATCACGCAACAGCCAATCACTTGAAACGACAAAATGAAATAACATAGATCCAATAATGCATACAGATACGGTGGGTGGCATAACTCTTCGCTAAGTTAGCATATGAAGTAAGTTGGTTAGCAATGAATCCGTGATAAGGAAAAAATGTCCACAAGTTACTCGAAAATGCTACAAACGCAACATAATTACCGAAGATAAGCGCAATTGGCGTAAGCGACGTGGCCAGCTAATAGAAGACTATTCAGATAGGCAAAACTAACCAAATAAAGTGGAATGAAATTTATGCAGCTTAAAGAGACTTGTTTAAGTGTAAGTTGGTTTAGCCCAACTGCGGTGAAGAAGCATCAAGAATGCAACATCAGCCTCAGCATGGGGCACTGAGTATATATATATATATATATATATATATATATATATATATATATATATATATATATATATATATATATATATCCACCACATATATTGTGCCACCGGAACTATGGCGGAATAAGAAGAACTAAATACGCTCCATTTTGCTCAGTATACCACTCATAGTGTTTGAGTTTATTAGGTTACTTTATTACTGAATGGAAAATGGAGCACTGCAAAATGCAGATATGCACGTCCGCAACGGACTTCGTACTTCGGACATGACTTTTAGGGTCTTCATTCATCGAAATTGCTTATCTTTGGGAGCCAACCAGACTCGAGAACAACCAACCGAGGTCAACGATTTCGTCAGCTTTTTCATACCGCTTCTTCAAGTGGTAGGCTGTGTACCGTGCCGCTTCTTCCAGCCCTGCCCAGCAACCGCGAACAATGCATGACGCGGAAGACTCTGAGCAGGCATGCGCAATACACGATCAAGCCGCTACAATTGAGGCAGCGAGATCAGCTCCTCGATTGAGTGGCTGCCGCACTCACGACAGTATGTCCAACTCCCGCATTACCTACGTGGTGCAGCCACCACACACGGGCAATGAGCACATGCAACGGTGCTCGAAGACCGACATCCGGCGCAGATCAACGTCATGAACATGCCACGTCTTGCAATCGAACAACAGTACAGCGTGGACAGTCGCGCAATCACCCCTTCCTTGATGGGAAGACGGACGTCGTGCCAGCGCCACAAGTGTTTCTTTTTTTGAAAAAGCAACACCAGCTCTTGAGATACGCATGGAAATTACCTCTCTAGTAGCTCCACCAGCAGTGTTGAAACTTCCCAGGTGGACTAAACTAGTCACGACCTCCAGGGCTTCACCGCCACGAATGAATGTAGGTACAGGCATCCGCCAACCTTGCAGAAGGGTTTGCAATTGCATGGAGAAATGTACATACCATACTTCGACGCTGCAATCACCAGGCGGTTAAGTGCAAGTTAGACAGACTGTGGACCGTCACCCAACAAGATGGTATCATCAGTATAATCCAACTCAACTACGCGATTACCTGGGCGAAGCTCAACGGCATCGTTTAGCGAGTCTTCGGGAGCATTTTCGAGGACATCTCCAACGTCATAATTGAACAGGAATGGGGAGATAGGGCACGTTTGTCGAACCCCAGTAGTGACAAAAATGGAAGGCGAAAGCTTGCCATAAGCTCTAACTCTACCTGAAGTCAGACTATATATAACCCGCAGTATGGAAACGAACTTCCCGGTGAAGTCGTTCCCTAACAGACAGTGCCACAATGTACCTCTGTCGACAGCATCGAAATCAATACGAATATACAGAAACATGACAACTGTTGGTTCTTGAAACATATAGCGAAGGCTGTTGATGTGGCTGAGTGTGAAAATTTGATGGCAAAAATCGCTACTATGACGGAAAGCAACGTGTTGTCCCGCTGTAGCAGTTCGAGCATTGGAGATAGACTGCAGAATATGATTGAGGCCAAAATCTTCCAGACGACGGGAACCAAACGTATACCCCTGTATTTAAACCAAATTGTGCACAGGCCCTTTTTGAAAAGGTGGAAGACTATTGCCTCACCCCAAGACGATGGAACCTCCTCTCTTGACTAAACTTATTAGAACAAAGCAGTGAGTTCATGAACCAGCGAATAGCCGCCATCTGTGAAGAGTACAAGAAGTAAAGCATCAGGGCCGGATGTTTGATAGCGCTTAAGTATGCAGAGTTCTTGCCAGATTTTCCGGTGAGAGTGAGGATCTCTGAAGCTAGAACATTCAGCACCATTGAGCGCTCCAGAGGAAACAGGTAGGGCTGGTGGCCAGAAAAATTGTGAGCAAAATGTTCAGCTCCTCATTTCAACTGTCATTGAAGCTTGGTGACCAGTGAGCCATTCTTTTTGCGGATTGTCTGGCTCGCGCCAAACCGGAAACCTTCGCTGAATCGGATGATATGGAAGAGTTTTCTGGTTTTGCCAAAGAGCATAGCGAGTTCCATCTCCATTGTACGTTCATATCACCAGATTTCGCAATCCTTTTGTCAGCTTTTGTGTAATTCCCGATTCAGGGATTGACGTTGGGCACTACAGCTGGCGTAGGCCCGGACCGAGCGGCGTTTGTCAAGCGGCGACAAAAAGACATCGGTGATCCAGCTTTGCGGCGGATGACGGACAACTCCGTAACTGATAAGGCTTTCATCCCAACAGTTCACAAGCTACATAGCAGAGCCTAGTCCGGAAAAGCGCCAGACGCGTTTCGCCCTATTGGGGCTCGTCAGTGGCACGCATTCCTGCTACTAATGATTACTATAAAATCAAAAGCCTCTCCTAG